AGGGGGGGGGAGAGGGATGGTGTGTGCTCAGGAGTTGCCGCCGTATTGTGGTGTTGTGGTAAGAGGATGCGGGAGTCGAGTTGAGATTGCGGCGTGAGGGGAGAGACGGTGATGAACGAGGGGACGAATGGATGGGCTTCGCGCCAACCAACGGCGGTGGTTTGAGGCCAAACAACCGGCACCGCACCCAGACCACAGGCACGGACGAGACCACCTGCACACGAGCAAGGCGACCACACTCATCCCCACCTTTGACTGTGGAAGTGGTTGTGAACCACGCCCATGGCTGCTGTGACTCCCTCGGCGTACGTGTGGAGGTGGTGAGGGAGGGAGGGAGGGGGAGGGGGAGGGGGGGGAAGGGGGAACGGGGGAAAGGGGGGAGGGGGAAGGGGGGAAGGGGGGGGGGGGGGCGGAGGAGGGGCGAGGGGCTTGTATGATATGGTCTCACATGGGTTGGTGGTGATTGGCTGTGCTGCGCTACCGCTTTTGGCTGCACTGCTCTGCACTGCGCTCGACTCGGCTGCGCTCGACTCGGCTGCGCTTGATTCGGCTGCGCTTGATTCGGCTGCGCTGCGCGGGACGACAGGGATCGGGGGCGGGTGGCGGACAAGAGCTTTGATGATGTCATGGGGCCGACGTATGAGGACGAGGAAGAAGACGAGGGCGATGTGGCGCGAAAGGCGCTGCCGGTGAGGTCGACGCCGTTTCGGAATCTTGGCGGCGGCGGGTCGGACTCGGATGAGGACGGCGGGGTGGATCCGATTCTGGAGCTGCAGCGCAAGGCGAGCGAGGCGCTACTGAAGCGAGTGGCGTTTGACTATGCAGCCCACGACTACAAGGAGCTGCCTATCAAGCCGGGCATCCGGTTCTATCAGCTGCTCGCGCCGCGGCCAGAGGGGACGCGGGAGGAGCAGCGGCGACGCGGAGGACGGCTCAAGCTGCGGATGCCCGACACCATTGTGTGCGAGATGGACGTCATGCATTGGTACTACACCTCTGCCGACGGGTATGTGTATCGGACCGACGACGGAGCCGACCACCATGTCATGGAGCGGCTCGGGCATTCGGACACGGACGATCTAGCAGACGTGCTGGTAGCGATTCTCAAGCGGCCGGCGCACTCGTCGCCGTTCACCTCGAACGATATTACGCTGCTCTCGACGCGACGCTCGCGCCAGTGCTCTCGTCGCCGCCCAACGCGCCGTATTGCATCCAGAAGTTTGTCAACTTTAAGGGCAAGAAGGCCACCATTGTGCGGTGCGTGTGGGAGGCGGGCAAGGCGTGCAAGGCGTATGTCATCTCGAACAACATTGCGGTGGACGACATTTCAACGACCGACTTTAAGCGGCGGTATTGCACCCAGACCGGCGACGCGGGAGCGACGACGGTGTTCAAGCTCACCGGGCGCTCGCTTGGCGAAGTGGCGGAGATGACCAACTCGATTGTGCAGTATGTGGAGCAGAACGTGACGCCGCGTCCACAGTTTGCGCAGCTCGTTGCCGACTTTATGAAGGACGCCGGCTCGCAGTGGTGGTTCTTGCAGGTCAAGCACTTTACGCTCACGCCAAAGTGCCTCGCGCACTTTGAGGCGCGCGACAAGGGCGAGGCGCATGTGCAGACGCCGGCCGAGCGCGAGATGGTCTCCAAAGACTACCTGCTCATGCTCACCTGCGGGTGCTGCAAGACGAGGTGCTCGTCCGAGGAGCTCATCTACGAGCTAACGCTCAAGATGATTCTGGAGACGGTCCACCACCTCAAGTCGCGCGGCATCGAGCTCCGCTGGTTCCAGCTCCTCGACGCGTCGACCATCATTGCCGACGACAAGGCCAAGTTCTACGCGCCGGCCAGGGTCTGCCGCTTCTGCTACGACCTGTACCTCACCGAGCAGAAGCTCAAGCGGATGGTGACCAAGTTTGCAGCGGCGATTGGCGTCCCCGTCGCCGCCGGGCCTTCAGTCCTGCCATCGGAGGACGACCCTGCAGTCGGGGCGGGGGCGAGCTGGCGTTCGCTGGTACTGCTAGCGGCGGCGACATTTCGCTCGGTCCACTCGGCTCGTTCAGCCTCTCGCCGTCGGCGATGACGACGCTCGGCACGCCGGCGACACCGATGCGGAGTGCAACGCCCTCGGCGCTGCTAGCGGCGTCGGCGTCGGGGCGGCGGTCCGAGTCACGAGCGCTGATGACCCCGTCCAAACCGATGCCGGCGGCGTGGGAGTATGCGTTCTCGTTTGGCGAGGCGGTCCAAGTGGCACCGGACGACACCAACTTTCGGCCGGCTAACATGCGACTTGTCCGGTTCATCACCTTTCTGCACGAGCTCTACGACACGCCGGACCTGGTGTCGCTCTTTGGCGACGGCACCTTTTACCTCGAGTACACGGTGTTCCAGTACACAACGCGCATTCCGCTCGAGCTCGTTGAGGGCTCGGTCGTCCCGGTCCACAAGCTGCGGGTCTTCCACTTTTGGGCCGACGACGCCGGCCTTGTCGAGTTTCTCGAGCGGCAGGTCAAGATCGAGATCAAGCTCTTCTCCACCGTCCATGCCAAGCCGCTCTCGTCGACCTCGCTCTACCTCAAGCAGTTCCAGTCGGGCCTCGTCTCCAAGCTCGACTACTTTCAACTGTTCTCAACTCGCGAGATGGCCGAGTGTGGGCTCAAGGCCACGCTTGGCTTTGTCAAGCTCAACACGGTCGATCCGTCGGTCTTTGAGATGGCCCGCCACCAGGGCGTGTACATCCCAGTCGACCCGGGCTACTTTAGCGTCGACCCACTGCCCGAGGAGTGGATGGCCATCATCCCCAACAAGCACGGTTTCCTCGAGTCTCTGCCGGACCACACGCGACACTCGCAGTCGACGCGGTTTGCGTCGAGCTCGGCGCTGGCCGAGCCGGCGGTGTTTGGCGGCGGCGGCAGTGGGGTGGGCGGCGCGAGCACCGACGCGTCGTTCTTTGTCACCCAGCTCGACGAGTCGGACGAGGCGCAGCTGCTCGCGCACATGTCTGCGCTCTCGGCCAAGTTTGCGAGCCACGACTACACCGACGCCGTCCGCGAGCGAACCTGGCTCGTCAAGCTCATGATCCACTCTGTCGTCCACCTCTCCGCCGAGCCTGGTGAGCAGTGGAAGGTAGACTACTCGGTGCTCGGCCAGGAGTTCTCGTCGCCGTCGGTCCTGTTTGTCTCGGACGCCGCGCCGCTCGAGTTCAACACCACCGACGACATCCACCTCCACTGCTCGTACTCGGGCCTGCAGGTCTGGCTCGACAAGTTCCCGGCCGCCGTCTTTGACGTTGTCTCGCGCGAGCGCTCGGCCGGTGGCACCGTCTCCATCCCACTCGCCGCGCTCCTCCAGCGCGGCAAGGTGACCGGTAAGTTCAAGCTCGGCTCGCTTGTCGGCAACATCGCCCAGGCGACCAAGCCGCTGTATCTGAAGGTCTCGATCTTTATGATCGATCCCGACGACGCGCCCGAGTTTGCCTCGATGCCCGCCGAGATGGTCATGACCGGCGCCAGCGAAGACCACGAGCTCAACGCGGCACTGATGCAGTAAAGGTAGCCAGAAAGCAGTGTGCGATGTGGCGATGTGCGGTCAGCGAACAGCGCGACGCGAGACCCCGACTTGCTTGGCGATGCGCGAGTGGAGCATGCGCTGATGCCAGCGAGAGCGGACAAAGACAAAGGCGGCGGCGAGAGCGCCCAGTAGCGACATGATGAGCTGGAAGAGCCAGAACGAAGTGGATGAGCCATCCTCGGCGCCACAGTGGCGGTAGGAGAGTGTCACCGATCCATCCGTGTCAAAAGTCTCTGTCGCGCAGGTCATCTCCTGCCGTAAGCCCGTGGCGGCGCAGAAGCTCTCCAGCGCCTCGGTCGGGGTGCAGGGGAGGCAAGCCGAGGTGACGTTGCAGGGTATTGTGGCCAAAGCACAGCTACTCATCACGCCCACCACCACACACAGGATACGCCACAATGTCGTCGACATGACATTCCCTTGCCCCATGCCCGTCAGTCGAGTGAGGTGGCGGTGGTGGTGGTGGCTGTCGACGGCTGTGGCTGGCCGGAGTCGCCTGAGTCGCCACAGCAGCCGCAGCAGTTGTGTCGGGCATCGAAAGCGGGTTCGATGATGGGAGGGCGGGGGGGGGGGGGGGGGGGGGGAGGGGGGTGATGTGGTGTGTGGTGGGGCCATCGGTCATTCATCGTAGAAGGTATGCGGTTAGTGATGGCGCCAGACTCGGTCCATGTCGCGCCCGTCGGGTGGCGCAAGAGATCGGATCGGGGTGGCGGTGGTGATGTGGTGTGTGGTGGGGCCATCGGTCATTCATCGTAGAAGGTATGCGGTTAGTGACGGCGGCAGACCATGTCGCGCACAACTTGAGCGTCCGTCGAGTGCCCCCAGACCACCACCGCCACCACCACCGCCACCACCACCGCCACCACCACCACGACAGACGGCCAATAGACGGACACACCCCTCTTCGCGGTGAGACTGCGGATGGCAGGACGGGCGCGGCATGTGCTTGCCAGGTTCCGCAAGCAGTACCAGGAGCTGTTCTCAGACCTTGCGCCTCTGGGCGCCATCTCGGCCGGCAACTCGGTGACGCTCTACTCGTCGGGATCGGCCACCTTTGAGGCCATGTGGCGGGCCATGCGCGGAGCGAGAAGACGACTCTGGCTCGGGACGTACACGCTGGAACCGGATGCCATCGGATCGGAGACACTGAGTGCTCTGGCAGAGGCAAAGGCCTCGGGCGTCGACGATGTCATCCTTATGTACGACGCCATCGGCTCGCTGAGGCTCTCCCAGAGCCATGTCCAGCATCTGATTGATGCTGGCGTGAGAGTAGTCCCCTTCAACCCGGTGTGGTCGTGGCAGTGGCCGTGGATGTGGCAGGCCACGCTCCGCGACCCGCTCATCCGCAACCACCGCAAGCTGCTCATTGTTGACTCGGACGTGGCCTTTGCCGGCGGCATGAACGTCGCCGCAGAGTACGCCGGGCCTTCGGTCGGTGGCAATGCCTTCTTCCGCGATGTCCACGTCCAGCTCCGCGGGCCGGCCGTCGACCACCTCGCCACTGTCTTCAAGGACTCGCTCTCCGAGGCCGAGCTGTATGCAGCGACGTCGCGCGGGCGGCTGACGCCGGCCAGCGACGAGGCGCAGCGCGCAGATTCCGATGCTGCGGCCGATGCCGGACGCAAGAAGACCCGCCCGCTGGTGGCCCCAGGTACTGGTGGTGGCGCGCTGGCCCTCCCACCGTCGCATGGCTACGGCGAGGCCCACGTCTCGACAGTCAACGTTGACTCGTCCGTCTCGGCGCAGACCAAGGCGCGGCTGGCGCGGTTTGCCAAGCACGTCCCGGCGCTGCGCAACATGTACAACCGGCTGGCAATGTACTCGCTGACACTGGCGGAGAATCCGGTACATATCACCAACGCGCCGCAAGAGACGCCGGCGCCCGGTGACGTCGTTGTCCAGGTCTTGTACTCGAACGCGCGCCGCGGCAAGTACGCCATCCAGCGGGCGATGGCGCTCTCGCTGCTCAAGGCCAAGTCGCGATGCTACATGACGACGCCGTACTTTATCCCGCCGCGGTGGCTGACCAAGCAGCTCATCCGTGCCGCCCGCCGTGGCGTTGACGTCCGCATCCTCACCGCAGGTAAGACCGACGTCCCACTCTACCGCATGGCCGCCATCCACGTCTACGACATCTTCCTCCGCAACGGCATCCGCATCTACGAGCTCGGCGACAAGGCACTCCACGCCAAGACCATGACCATTGACTCGATGTACGCCTCGGTCGGCTCGTTCAACCTCGACCTCCTCTCCTCGCACCGCAACCTCGAGGTGGTGGTCTCGTTCCTCGATCCTCGAATGGCCTCGGCGCTCGAGTCGCAGACTCTCGCCGACATGTCGAGCGCTGTCGAGATCACCCGCGCCGACACCTCGGCCCGCTCGCGGACCATGGCCTTTGCGCAGGCTTTCGTCTACCGCGTCCTCAACTTTTTGTTCTCGTGGAAGGGCTGATCGCCTACGCCAGCCGCGGCTGCAGCGCCGCGAGCAGGCCGCCGACCGTCGTCGCGTCGGCCGGCGCCGCGAGCGAGAGTGCGTCGAGAATGCCGCTGTACACGGCCTTGGCGTGGTCCGAGAGCTCAGTCACGTTGGCGTCGGCGAGCGCCTTCAGGATCCGCACCGCGTACCCGCGGAGTGCGGAGCGGGCAGCGACCTCGACCCGCGGCACAAGGTGGACTGCAAAGTCGAGGACGAGCGAGTGTGCGGCCGGCGAGGCCGTTGCCAGCGGCAAGAGTGCAGCGTCGAAAAAGGCCGGCACGAGGTCGCGGGGCGGCGTCGCGGGCGTCGCCCGAGCCCGAGCC